TTTTTGTACAGTTTATTTATTTTAAGGCCACACTCGGTCCACAACAAATTTTCGTGGTTTATAATTTAGGTTGGACTCTTGTTCCTCCTACTTTCATTAATTGGTACATATACAAGAGCATCATTCACAAAGTTATTTGGTGCTAAGCATTGCGTGAATTTTGTTGTTTTCTTGCACATTATAATGTATATATATATCGCGTTGTAATAATTATTTAGTCTGTACATTGGGTAAAGCCCATTGATGGATCCCCACACTGTTTCTAATAAAGAAATTGTGATTGCTTAAATAAACGACTAGTAAGTAATTAATGTTAAATTATTATATAAACTTAACATTATACAATCAATTTTTTTAGTACGATTTTTTAGCAAAGCATTATATTGTATTTGAAAATCAGAATGCTCATTAAAATTGTATATGCTGCACATGTGATTTATTGTAAGAGATATTTAACGTAGAAACACTTGAGGCTAACAGATAATATTGTATACACTGTATGTGTAAATGTTAGTTGTTATGCATACATGGCTTCGTACTATGGTACAGTATATCGATTTCGATATACCAGCCAAATTTGACCGAAAGATTTCAATCAAATACCTTTAAGTCCACGAATCATACTATTACAAATCTTAATAAATTACATGTGACAATAAAACATAATAACACTTAATAAATAATGTCTAAGAATTTTTTGAAATTGTCCTTATGATCCCCAATTATGTCCCTACTATGAAATTGCATCGAATCGAAATTGAATATAATACACCAAAACCCAGTAATTTAGCATCACTCGTTTTCCGATAGATCATCAAAAATTTTTTCGAACGCTTTACACTGAAGTTTAATCTGGTTCAATTGAGGAGACAAGATATTTCGATGTTGATTCATCGTCACTTGATCCCATTGTTGTATATCTCTTCCTGATCTTGTCCATTGAACTGTTTTATCATGCACATCTCTCAGCTTTGTTATCATTCTGGTTTGTCGTTGAATCGACTTTTGTAAATCCTTAATAGCGACATGTCCTGCTACCAAAACTGTTGTTCCCGCTACCCCTAAACCAGTGGCAAATAATTTCTATTTTTCACGGTAATTTTGCAAATAGATAAAATGAAGATTTGTTGTAACACATATGTAAATGATATGTTAACTAAAAATACATAGGATGGGTGTGAATTATACCTCGCTTTTGGTAATCTCTTGTTTGTTATATAATTTAAATAAAAAGTATCCAGTCCCTAGAATCGCTTCTACAAAAAACGTCACGGTTATACAACGAACGTTAGCATGCTAATCATTCAAGCGGAGGAGGCCTCAGCGCCAAGTCACCTTGGCTCTGATGTTTCAGAAGCATGTTTTTGATTCCTGTCAATCTCAAATTGCATCGAGCGCACTTGTAAACCTTTGCACCACCGAAATTATCCTTTATGTGCACGTCTTGGGCGTGTAATGCCATCACAAAGTATCAACAATCGACCAGGCTACTCTTCAATCCTATGCGCGAGATGATGTTGGAACTTGTCATGCTCTTAATCATTCAATTAAATTTCTGATATCATCAGACTCGAGTCTTGAATCTTCTTATCATATCGAGACATCGATTGTATGCCCATCGGTACGTTCCCATATACCTCTTCAACGTTTCTCTTTCTTGATCGTTGGGATAGATGTTTGTGGCAGTCCTAAAACAATTGTGTCTAGTTGTGAACGCCGTAACGATGGATAGTAGATCCTCTGCAGGTTCACCTGTGTCTAGATATGTTGATTCAACATCCGTACCGAGAACCACGAGTTTGACATCGTGTTTCTGAAAAATCCACTCGACGAGCTCGTGTACAAATCGCACAATCGGCCCTTGTGGGTAACCACAACTTCTCGAGATTTCTTGTGTACACTCATTCAGAATGGATATTTATCCTCGTCGTTTCCAATTGAGACCAAACCCGATGTCGGTAACGATCTCATAATCAGGAAATTTAGAAATGAGATATGCACTCTGCCTTTCAAGGTCACCTTGTTTACGGGTTGATGTTTTTTTTATTATTGTTTTTTTACACTATGATGCATTTTGAGATTGACAGGAAGGCTTTTTCACGACCTTTAAATCTTCTGAAACATTTTGTCATATGATTTGTGAACTCACCATGACGAAAATGCACATAAAGCGTAAATGCTACGAAATGAAAGAAATGGTGAATACGCGTCGTTACAAAACATAAAATAATCTTATGTATCATGTAAAACTCACCATGCAAACATTACGTATTTCAAAAATTTATGAATATCTAGTTAGTGTTATACGTGATAATAACTTTGAAAGTAAATGTTGGATTTTTGTTCACCTGTACTTCCCATAATGCTGTCAAATTGGATAAAAAATGTTGTCAATTAAGAAATTCGTGGGTGTAAGACTTAAAATCATATGCATACTTACATGGCAGAAAGCCACCAGGCGGTGGTTGATTTTTTTTCCTGAACCTGTAAAGCCTCGATTGCACTGTTGT